CCCCAAAACCCCAAAACCCCAAAACCCCAAAACCCCAAAATCACGCATATTATAGTCAAATATTAAAATGATTAGTAAAGAAGACTGAATGCAATTGGATCAAAATGTGAAGAAACATCTGGAAATTTTCTGTGAGGAGATCCACCCCTCTCAGATTAAAGGTAAAGGGAAGTCTAAAGAAGGCTACTCAATTTTTTCCAATTTTAATAATACTGTCACTCTCGGAGGGAGAAAGATGATTACTGATTGGTTCTGAACTCCTCTCAAGAACCCAATGCTCATCAAAAGAAGGCTGTCTATTGTAAACTGCACCAAAGAAGCCTTAGAGCAGGATCAGACATTGAAATAACTCTGTTAAATCTTGCCTCAGCCACATCATTTGCTATAAGAAGTTCTTCAAAGATCTTGAGAGAAAGAGCACAATTCAGCAAAGCAGTATTGTCCGTCTCTACAAATCTTTGAACGAGTGAAAAATTTTACTAAAAATCCTTGACAAGGATTTTAAAGAAGAGCATGATTTTCAAGCGGAATTTCAGAATCTTTTCAAAGAGCAAACTAATGAAGCTATTGACTACTTGATTTACACCATTGAAGACATTTTTGACTCAGAAGTTTTACTGAAATATAACCAGGCTCAGTGCAAGAAGGAGAATATCAATCTCATACAGAAAGGAATAAGCAAAGAGCTTGACTACAAGAGGCATCAGCTGGTTGCTCTGGATGATCTTCTCGAGGACGTTAATAAGTCCATTCAGACGAAGCTTGCTTTTGAGCCAAAATAAGGTTTTCAGACATTTCTCAACCTATAGTACAACTCTGATTCCTCAATATGGGTATCATGTAGAAGTAAAGCTAAAGGATGGATCCAAATTTGAGCAAGAAGTTGTCCAGAGTGAAGAATATGAGGACTTACTAGAGCAGCTCAAAGATAACGGCTGGACTCTCTGCTTCCAGAAATAAAGATGCCAATAAGATTTATTTCAAGACTTTCCAGACAGATGTGCTCAATAGTGAAATGGGAGATATTATTAGTGAGATAAACGTAATTGAGAATGAAATTTATTTTGAAATCCAGACATTGCTAACTGAAAAATATAAAGATAAGCTTACTGATATCTCCAATGATCTTGACAAGCTCGATGCATTTTTTAGTCTAGCAATAGCAGCTATAAATCATAGACTACAATGTCCAGTGATAAAATATGATTCAAAGCCTTATCTTAGCTTCCATATGGGAGGATTTGAGATTCTCAATGATTTTAACACCTCAGAAAGTAGGGAATATCAGCTTGATCTACTCAGATGTGTGTGAATCCGAGGACTTAAAGGATCTGGAAAGACTTCATACCTTAAGCTAATTGGAATCATAGTATATCTTGCCCAGATAGGAAGTTTTGTCCCAGCTCAAAAATGAGTTTTATCTGTATTTGATAAAATTCTGACAAAGTTCTCAACCCCAGAATCTTTGATAGAAAAATAGAAGTTTCTTCCAAATGGAAGTGGAGTCCTTATCGTCTATTTTGGAGAATACGACCACCAGGTCTCTAGTCTTAATCGAAGAGTTTGGCAAAGGAACTCACTATATGGATGGAATAAGCTTGTTTAACGGCATTTGGATGTCTTTCTTGAAGCAATCAAGCAAAGCTGAAGGATCGTCTCCCTTACTTTGAATTACTTGTGGCCAACCAGAGCTTTTTGAGCAAGGCATTATTAAGCAAAATGACACTGAAGAATCAAAGAACTCGAAGATATTAGAGATGATTTCAAAGTCAACCTCCTCTATTGAGAATCCTCTTGATTACAAGAGAGAAGAATTGGACCAACCTGAACAAAATTTTGTTCATTTATATAAAGTTGCTGATATGGGTAAAACTTTTCTTAATATTGTAACGAAATTCTCTTTTGATAAAATTTAATACTTACTTCTCCCCGAAATAGCAATGCTTTTCTCTCTAACTAGTGAAAATAGGGGATCCAGAACTATCACCTAAGACAGGAATTACAGCTTCATTGCTATCATCCTTCAGGTCATTCCACATGTCTCAAACAGACTATGAAGATAAGCTGAGGGCTGGCTACGCTCATGAGCTAAATTGATTAAGATCCCTTCTTAAATCTCCAGCTTCAGTACGTGATATATTTAACTTGAAAATGGGACTTCAGCGTCGAAATTAATTTCCCTAATATCCAATTCTAGCAGTGAATAATGGGGTTTTGGGGTTTTGGGGTTTTGGGG